TCGAACACTAAGAAAATTCGTTGTTGACTATCTAAAAAGATAGAGCAATGTCAACTATAGATATTACTAAAAACCTAAATTGTACCCCAAGTTCTTTTTTTCAAAAAAGTAGATAAGGTGCACTTACATCTTAAATAGAAATGACTTAGATATTTGTGTGGATGAATAATAAGTTAACTACACTCTAAAAAGAATTTGTTTTCTCTGAAACTCAAACTTCGGAAACTGTTTCGAAATCTATGAGCGTATCCGGAAAGATTTCAAGACCCATGTCAAGTTTCTGAAAATAACTTCTAGGTTTTTGAAGCTCCAGAAACCAATAGGTTTTCAGGAGATCGAACCAGAAAACATCCCCAAACGTATTGTGAGAAACCTTGGTCTAGTCCTGAGAACTGAAGAGTTTCCTCGAAAACCACTTCTAACTTGAAAACCTTGACGGAAACGCTATGCGTATTCTCGATTACCTTTGGTTTGGTGGCTTTTTTATCAGAAATCTTTTTGGATTCGCCAGTATCAAAAACAGTGAAAGAATTCCGCAGAAATCGAGTATGGCTTCTGAGTATTGCTCAGATATTCCTAAGACTTTTTGAATATTCGGGAAAATTTTGACTTTTCAAAAAAAGTCTTGAAATCCGGTTAATTCTCCTGAAAAACTGAAAGAGTATTCGAATGTATGACTTTTTTTCTCACGTTACTATCGAATAGTTTTTAGGCTTAGGAATTGCTTTTCACTGGGATATAAACCTTACTTAGTTTATGTGAAATTGTTTTGTAGAAATATCGGCGCCCTAAGAATTAAAAAAAGTGCGTTATTACGAGACAACCTTGACTCGTTATTGCATCTCTTATCGCTTATAAATTTGAATGAATTACGAAAAATTTTGATGTGAGAATCGAAGAGTTACGATAGATCGCGTGGTTACTGAAAGCATGTTTTATTTTTACTTCTTCATTTATTCATTCTTCGGTTAAAGTCCAAACATTATTAAAGCGTCGGAAACTCAAGATTTAAGCAGAAAATTGTGTTTCTGTTTTTGTTTTGTTTTGGATAGATAGATTCTGTCGAGTTAAATAGGAAAAGTGCAATCTTAGAGATTTACAACTTGGTTGTCTCCGAAAAAAATTCGAAAGAATAAATTTTTCGAAAACATGCAAAAATGAATGAACATTTGAATATTATGTGAAATATTCGCATTTATTGTCGTTATAAAATTCCCAAATTAGCTTTTCGTAATTCTCCGTATGAAAGTGTGTAAAAACTCTCAACTAGCTGTTTTTGTGGTCTAAAATGAGCTGTGTCCTTTCAGAATACTAGTAAAATCATGAAAAGGCTTTCTGAGCACTTGCAAACCTATCAAGTACTATTGTATGAGTTACGAAAAAGTACTTTTCAGTGGATAACAGTCAATATAACAACGGTGAAAAATCAGCACATCTGACTAAAAAAAATTAGGATCTGTTATTTCGAAAATTAACTTTTTGATATTAGTAATATGATAGTAAAAAATGAGCATCTACTTGGAAGTTTTGACTATAGATATTTCGTTTTCAAATAAAATGCATGTGATACTCAAAATCAGCATGACAAGTCCGATTGAATGACATTGACATCATGAAAAGAATATTTGCCATTGAAATTCAATCCCTGCTTTCTTTCAGGTTTGGTGGACATGATTTCATCTTTATGCCTCCTCGGGTTAAGTTTCGATGACAAATAATCTTTCAATGATTTCTATGTCATTCAATCGGATTTGTCATTCTGATTTCGAATATTACATGCATTTTATTTGAAAACGAAATATCGATAGTCAAAACTTCCAAGTAGGTGCTCATTTTTTACTATTTTGTCGACGACAAAAGTCTTGCCTCTCTTGAAATAAATTTTTTATATTATTTTTGACGTATGAGAATAGAATGCAACAAATAGATACATAGGAGTTCGAGACATTTACGCAGCACATAGCAGTTTTATAAGTTTTTGCTGCTTCTTTGAGCAAAGTAAAAATATATGAATAAATCCATTTTTGGATGACTTGTTCAGAGATAAGATGGATTGTATGATATGAGACCGACATTTCGAACTGACGGATTTCTAGTGAATGAATTACAATTCGACATTTCTTGCTCACTGTTCTTAATATTGCCCGTTGACAAAGCATAGCTAAACCTCTTCCTTCTGAATGGTCAAAAGTTTTAAACTCGAACTCACTTGATACTAGCCATTTCATCTCTCAGCAGGTCATCCAGAAATGGATATATTCACATATTTTTACTTTGCTCAAAGAAGAAGCAAACACTTATAAAACTGCTATTTGCTGCGTAAATGTTTCGAACTCCTCTGTATATATGTTGTATGTTGCATTCTATTCTGATACGTCGAAAATAAAATAAAAAATCGATTTCAAGACGGGCAAGATTGTTGTCGTCGACTAATTATACTCCTAATAACAAAAAGTTAATTTTCGAAATAACAGATCCTAATTTTTTTTAATCGGATGTGCTAATTTTTCACCGTTGTGATGTTGACTATTATCTACTGAAAATTACTTTTTCGTAGCTCATACAAGAGCACTTTGATAGGTTTGCAAGTGCTCAGAAAGCCTTTTCATGGTTCTACTACAGTGAAAAAAAAGGTACATTACCGAACCTTCGAGTGTTTCATGGAGAAAAAAGGGTTCCGTGAAGAAGAAAAAGATTTCGTGCATGATCGGAACCTACAAAGGTTTCGATTTTTGAAACGAATTCTAAACCTTTTTAGGTTTCGTACCAAACCCTACCGAATCTTTAAAAAAGACTTCTTGATCGATGACAATCATTTTGAAAGTGTCAACATTTTTTACGAAACCCTTTCGAGGATTTCGAATTCATTTAAAAAATGGTTCGGTAAAATATCTTTGTTTTTTCAGTGTAGTATTTTGCAAGAACACAGCTCATATTAGACCACAAGAGCGGGTAGTTGAAATTTTTCGCACACTTTCATACGGCAATTGACAAGAAGCTAATTTGGGGATTTTATAACGACAATAAATGCGAATATTTCACATATTATATTCAAATCTTCATTCATTTTTGCATGCTTTCGAACAATTTATTCTTTCGAATTTTTTCGGCGTAAACCAAGTTTCAAAGCTCTACAATTGCATTTTACGATGTATGTTGACAGACACTATTCATTCGAAACAACAAAAAAGAACAACTTTCTGCTTAGACTTTGAATTTGTATGTATGTATGTATGAATTTATACTCGTACCTGAAAAGGTATTAGATGAAGACAAAAAAAACAGTACAAAGGAAAATATACAAAAAAGAGAAAAAAAGCAAAAGCAATGTTCTACGAGTCAGTGTCATGTTAGTTCGTCGCTGAGTTCCAGTAGTCAGAGGGTTTTTTCCGGTTTTCACCTCCTCGACATAAAGACGAGGTTTCAGTGACGACCTTCATTTCTTGTTGTTGTTTCGAGGTATAAGTTCGGTAACTTTTGCAGGAGGAGGAGCAAGAGCTGCTGTTCTTCTTTGCATAGCACGTTGCTTTATTTGTTGAATAATGTCAAGTATATCGTGTACGGGAGGCTTGACCACTGTATGTTGATTGATCGTTGCCCGCCATGTATCTCGCTCAAGTGTAGTTCTTCTCCCGTTAAGTACATTCAGTTTTTCTAGTTCTTTCTTTACTCTGTCTTCCCATTTCTTGCACATGCCGGCATTTCGAGGTCTTTTTGACTCGCCATAGAATGAGAACATGATTTTCTTTATCGGCACTGGTTCATCATTTTCATCTGTCATTCGGTTTGCGTGACCGAACCAACGTAGGCGATTTCGACGTAGGATATCTTCGAGGCTAGGCTGACCCGTGATTTGAAGAAGTTGCAGATTGGCATTCGATCTCCAATGTTGATCCCAATGATGGTTCGAAGACATCGATAATAGAATGCACATAGGCGACGTTCTGAGGTTCGTGTGAGAGACCAAACCACACTAGCATATAAGAGAATAGGAAGAATACATGCTCGAAAGATTCGTAGTTTTGCTTCAATAGAAATTGTTCTTCTGTACCATACTACGTGACGAAGTATATTGAAGGCCGTTGTTGCTTTTGCCAATCGTACTGCCATCTCCCTACTGCAGGAAAAATCTCGACTAAAGTGGCATCCAAAGTAGCAGAATTCATCCACAATAGCAACTGTATCATTTCTGATGTTGATATCAATGGGTGGGTGAGCAACGTCTTCACCTTTGATTATTCTTCTTGAGTTGTCTTCCTTGAGTTGTTTGCATTGCATTACACAGGTCTTTTTGATACTCATTGGGATACCATACTGTTGGGATATATCTTCGAAAATCTGAACAAAGATTTTCAGATCTGTAGTACTTTCAAAACAACCTACTACATCGTCGGCATACATAAGAGCCAATAGCTTCACATCTTCGTTGTTATCGGTGGTAGAGTGAAAGAAATCCCTTCCATAGTTCAATTTCACACCAGAAACGTTTAGTACCTCCAGTCGTTCAAATACTTGACGCATAATAAAATCGAAAAAGACGTTGAAGAATGTTGGGGAAGGTATACCTCCCTGTAGAACACCAGTTTCGATGCCGAAGGAATCAGATAATTCACCATTGATACGCACTTTTGCTTTGGATTCTTTGTATAAGAGTTGGAGGAGTCGAATCATTTTTTCAGTTAATCCATAGTGTCCACATATACGCCACAGAATTTCGTGATCAATGGAATCGTAGGCTTTTTGTATATCTATGAAACATAAAAATAATGACTTGTTATAATCTTGAGTCTTTTTCATCAGCATTTTAAGAGTGAACATGTGATCAATTGTTTCCCCAAATAAGTTTGTACACGATTCAAAATGATACGAGAGAATATTTTGCTTATTACTGGTAATAGTGAAATTCCGCGATAATTTCCACAATCTCGTTTATCACCCTTGTTTTTGAAAAGACGAATAATTATTGCTGTTGATCAGTCATCGACTGTTTCTTCATTTTCCTATATTTCGACAAATAAAGCATGAAGTTGAATAGCCAGAGCATGACCACCAGCCTTGATAATGTCAGCTGATATGCCGTCCATACCAGGAGCTTTACCACTTTTCATTCGTCGTATTGCTTCTTCAACTTCTTTGAGTGATGGAGGTTTGTCTTGTCGACTTTGTTCGTTTGATGATAATTGTCTAATTGGTATTTGTTGAATAGTTGCAAGATCCACTGTTGTTGGGACGTTCAAAAAAGTTCAGAAAAATGTTCTCTCCAGCGATGAAGCAGAATATAGGAGTTAGTGAGAAGGATACCTTGCTTATCATAAATCGGCATTTCTTCGATTTTGGCTTTTCCTCTTTTCAATCTTCGGATCATTCTGTAAGCTGTAACAGGATCATGTTGTTTGATTGCTTGTTCAATTTCCAGGTTCAATGCATCCCAATATTCCACTTGACGTTCTCGAACCTTTTTCTTTGCCAGTTTTCGGAGAGTTCTATATTGTGTTCGATACATCTTTTCATTGCGAGTACCTCGATGATTTTGCCATGATAGAAAGGCTTGAGACTTTTCACTCACAATATCGAGGATTGCATTTGTGAGCCATTCCTTGTGCTTTCTTGGCAGTTCAGTATCGCCAAAGAAATTTTCACTGATATTTTTCAAGGTGGTAGATAGTTCGGCATACTTGTCATTAGTTGTTATTGTTGGTGAGGTAGATGTTGTCGTAGAAGAGAAAACAGCTTGAAAAGCTTGAATATAAACAGGATCATGTAATTTCATTTTATTTAATCTACCGGTGAACTGTTTTTGTGTAGTTTTTGCTCGAGTTTTGAGATGGAATTTGATTTTGGTTCGTACAAGATGATGATCTGTTCCAATAACACCAGCAGCAGTTCGGTAGACTCGTACATCTTCTACAGAGGATCTGAATTTTCGATTGACTAGAGTATAATCGATCATATGCCATTTTTTATTACTCGGAGGCATCCAAGTCATTTGATGAATTGGTTTGTGTTCGAAAAATGTATTGGCAATAATAAGGTCGTTGTTTGAGCAAAATCAGTGAGACGTTGTCCATTTTCATTTAGATCATCCCCTGCATGTTTTCCCACTACACTAAACCCATCAAGATGTTGTTGTTGACTAACTCTTGCATTAAGGTCACCCATGATGAGGACCATATCATTTTTTGGTGTTTTATCAATCGATTGCTGTAAATCGATGTAGAAAGCATGTGCAGTGTCGTTTGCCGTTGGTTGTCCAGGTGGAGGATTGATAGGAGAATACACAGCAATGATAGTTATGGAGATTGGGTGACGTTGTAGGCGCGCAGTGATGATACGATCGCTAACTGCTTTCCATGTAGAACCACCATCTCTCCATGATTTGCTTGCTTGTTTTCCAAAACAAAGAGCCATACCATTAGCAGATCTTGTTTTCATTACACTTGGGGCTCCAGAATATAGGAATGTATAGTTGTCGATTTTAGTGACACCAGAGTCATATATAGATGTTTCGCTGAGTGCAGCAACTTATATACGATGTTTGTGAAGTTGTTTGACGATGAGTTCCTTCTTCCATTGTTGTCGACACGATCGAACGTTCCAGTGACCAAAAAATGTCGATTTGCGTGCATCGATGCACGGATTCTTGTCTTGTTCTTGTGCTAGAGAAGTTTAATGTCCCTCTGACAGGTAGCAAGTCTGATAGAAAGACGATCTTTGGCTACCGGCAGCCCAGGGACGCCTTCCACCCACTGCAAGCAGAAGTGGAACCCTGTGAATGTCCAAAGACATCCCGGGCAGGCTGGACTTTGAATTTTCCACATCTTACCATTGATAACAGATTGAAAAAGTGCAGTGTGGCCTTTGAACCGTTAAAGATTGTTTCAACTAGCTTGTATAGATTATTGGAAAGTGAGAATGTATTATATTGGTGAGAAAATCTTTATTTCTAGAAAAGTGCTACAGAAATGTTGTTATTACATAAGCGAAAAAAAAAATTCCTCCGAACTTTGTTTATATTAACAGTGATTCATGAGTATACGATTTTACTTTTGTTTTGTTTTCTTGTCCTGTATTCATGTATTTACTTATCACTTTCGGATAAAAGTGAAAGAAAGGGTTTCTTTGATATTTAAGTCTCACACGATGCATATTTCATTGTACTTTCAGAAAAATTTTTCAGTCTTTCTAACTCGGCATTTGTGTTCATGTAATTGAAGGGCTACTCATTTTTACCAATGTTGAGAGAACCTGTTTTATTATTTAGAGTTATTTTAAGCTTCATGTCGGCGAGAAATGATCTTTTTTTAAATCAAAAAATGAAATAAAATGTTTTAGATAATTTTCATTAACACTTGATTTTAACATCTTCACGCTTCAACAGGTAGTGTCTCAATCTACTAAGACGGAATATTCGCACACACACACATCAGAACAGAAACGAAACTAGAATGGTAACCGAATCATACAGCCTAGGTCTTCAACTAGCAACAATAATCTGGATTCTTTCGACTTGAAGACTCGAAAACCTTGACTATTTCGAAGAAATAAACGTTGACACTCACAAAACTTTCATAACATAAGGACTTCACTGACTTCAACACTCTAGCTTCAAAAGACTTGCAGAATTAAATACAATACTATTCCGAAGACTCTGACTATACAGCAGTGAAAAGCTTTCCGATCGAAACCGCAGCAAAGACTTAATGACTCTAAGATTAGAACTTTCTTCATGATTTCAAAATAAAGAATCTTTAGATTTTAGAAATTATACGAATACAAGCATTAAATTTAACAAATATAAAAGCTTAATGATGTCATGACTCTGATTGACTTCATGACTTTCTTTCTGAGACATTCGAAGATTTTGGCATAGTTTATGACCTTGTATTTAAAAAACTTGAGAGCTTGAGATCGTCAGAACTATGGTTGATTGCAAAGCTCTGCATTTAAGTGACTCCAGGACATCAGGACTTCAAGACTACGACTAAGATTCAAGAGTCTGCCTTTAAGAAACTGTAAGACGTGAGCATCCCGAAACTATAGTTGATTTCAAGTAAGATTTGAAGAGGATTTCTTAAAATCGAGTATGTCTTGAATTGTTTTATTGAGTAGCGCCCAAGAAACTATACAGTCAGTTCTAAAGATATTCGGATACTTGAGAAAACTTCCGCCCTTGTTGAAAAGTCATTTCGATGAATTTACATATATGTATATATATTGGATGAATTTTTTCAAGATATATATTGGGACTAGTGGCGAGATTGTGTTAAAATTTTCCGCTCAATGCGGTTACGTTTGCGAGAGATATTCACCAAGTAAGAATCAAAAATAGTTAATTTGATCTCTCGAAGATTTCTGTAAGCCTTGATTTTATATAATTCAATTTTTTTTGTTTGAACGAGTTGGTTAGAATCCAGAACATGACAGAACCTTTTTCTTTCAACTCTTACTTTTGAACCCAGAAAAAAGTAATGAGAAGTTCAATAACTCAAAAAACTTTTTAAAAATCGGGAAAACCTACTGTTTCTCAAGATTTTTTCGAGCTTCTGGGTTATTGAACTTCTAATCACTTTTTCCCGAGTTGAAGAGTAAGAATTTGAAGAAAAAGTTCTGTGATGCCCTGGATCCTGGTTCACTCTTTGAAACCAAAAAAAATTGAATATAGAACCAAAGCCCAGAGAGAAGTTTGGATTACTAGATCAGCGATTTTCGATTCTTGTCTGGTGAATAATCATCTGTCTCAAAAGTAACGATGTTGGGTGAAAAGGTTTAACATAATCTCTCCACTAAAATCCCAACATATCTAAAAAAAAATTCATGCGATTTGTATACCCATTGACCAAAATGGCTTTTCAGGAAGGGTAGGAGTGGTCTGAAATATCCGATTACTTCTTGGACTATTTATACATGGTTTTGAAACCCCGAAAACATCTAATGACTATTCGATGCCTTCAGCATTTTCAATCGCTTTTGAAGATTTCCAATAGGTTTCTAAGAGCTTGAAAACCGTTTCTCGGCCACCTGTAAAGAGTTTCATATAGTGACACATCCGGAAACCTTCAATAGAATTCTGAGAAAACGAATTTTTTAAAAAGTGTAGACCCTCGCCCACACGTAACCGACTCCACATCCTCACTCATACTCAGACCCATAACAACAACTACACATGCACCTAAGTCATATATATCAAACCCCCATCATCCTCACACTCATGCGCATAGCGAAATCTGACATCAACGCTCATACCTTCATGAACCTTGTACATCCATGCTCTTCAGCTTTAATGGGAAATCTCAGCTGAAATTCAGATTCTCGACCCTACATAAACTATAGCAAAATTTCTTCACAAACTCCACAATCTGCAAAAAAGAAAAGCTCCTTTATCATTAGTCGACTTCTGACAAATGAAAGGTCGGATTAAAGATCCAACCTCAGATTCGGATTCCTGACCCTCGATAGCCTATAGCAAGCTTTTATCAAATCAGCGAAAAATCGTAAAAAAAAAGTCTCGTTTCTGATGAGCTTAAACGGACAAACTCTAAGCATTTTTTAACCGCTGTATAATGTAATCCTTTCTTTTAGAAAAAGGAGCAAATCAAAAAAGCCATAGAAATACAAGCAAAATAATGAAGCCTGTAAATGCACGAGAAATCCAATTAGCTTAGGGTGCTAAGAGTAGTCCAGAATTATGAGTGAGAAGCGCTTACGAAAAGTAAACGTGTGAACGTACGAAAGACCTGAATATTTCTCAATGCTAATTGAGGTTTCCAATGATGAGTCAGATATACTTACATGTAGTATGACAAGCTTGAAACTTGAATTCTAAGTATTCAAATCTTCAGCTATGTAAGAATTCAGTTGAAGTATTCAAGCATCTCACTATTCAAGTATTGAAGTATCCAGCTCTTCAAGTATTGAGTATAGAAGTATTGAAGCTTTTCTGCTATTCAAGTATTCAGTTGCAGTAGTCAGCTATTCAACATGATCAATCAAGCAGAAGCACATACACTATGTTTAGACGGCGAGTCTATTCACGATTAAACTTGTGCTTGATTAGAAGTTGTGCATGCACACCTATAAACGTTCTTTTTCATTAATCATGATTAGCAGTGTATGTATGCACAACTTGTTCCGTCTAAACGTGTATGCATGCAGAATCCAGTAATCATGCATTCGATTGAGGAATAAAAGGAAGGACTGCGTAGTGTATTGATCATTCTAATAAAAAATATGCATCCTCTCGCTGTCTACTCATTTATGAAGCGACACAAGTCAATTGTCTCACGAAAATACAAACGATCAAAACATCGATCGTTTGATATTCTGCTATTTTTACGATGTTTGAATTCGATTATTCGACAAGAACGCTCAATTTGGAAACATCCGAGAAGTTCAACATTTTTCGAGTACGACATGCCATTATTCAATGAAGATGTTTTCCGGCAAAACTTTCGTATATCACGTGATCTATTTAATTGGATTCTTGAGCAAACTGGCAATGCTTTACAAAAAGAAGAATTAAGTATGCAAACGACAATTTCTCCGGCAAAACGTCTAGCTATTGGTCTCTATGCATTGGTAACAACAGCTGAATATCGGACGATCGGGAACTTATTTGGTGTCTCACGGTCTACAGTTTGTGTAATCTTCGAAGAAGTTATTGACACTATCGTCTGTTGATTATGTGATCGATACATTAAATTACCAGTTGGTAAGGAATTATCAGAGGTTATCGATGGATTTCGGACAACATGGGTGAGTTGTATAAAAACTAAATCGATGTACATATTTGTGTTCTCATATTATAGGGATTTCCACAATGTGCTGGAGCTATTGATGGAACACATTTTGCAATTCTGGCACCCGTGGATAATGCTGCTGATTACTATAATTGGAAAGCTTATCATAGCATGCATGCACAATTTCTTGTTGATCATACATATTTAATCCGCAGCGTTGTAGTTAGTTGGCTCGGTAGTGTTCACGACTCACGTGTGTTTGGATCAAGTCGTTTATATGAAAAAATTACACAAACAGATCTTCTTTCAAGTCATAGGAAAATAATTGAAGGAGAAAGTATGCCGGCTTTCTTTGTTGCTGATTCGGCTTATCCTCTTTCTGAAAATCTATTAAAACCGTACCGAAACGTAAATTTAACTTCTGATCAAATGACTTTCAATTATCGATTGAGTCGAGCACGTGTTGTTGTCGAATGCGCCATTGGTCGATTAGTAGGTGAGAAAAAACACTTAACGAGAAAATCTTTTCAAGGAAATTTATTTATAGGACGATGGCGGGGCTTGTCAAAGTGCATCGATTGTGCTACTGAAAAAGTGAGCACTGTCATTCTTGCGGCAGTTATTTTACACAACTTATGTGAATTGAATAAAACTCCATTCCTCGCTCGTTGGCTTGATGACACCAGTGCTGCCACCATACAACAATCACCATCATTACCTTGTAATGATAAAACTACTAAACGTGAAGCCATGAGAACTGCATTAGTTAAATGGTGTCTATTAAATCTATTATGAAAGTGTGTGTTGTTTTATTGACTTTAACTGAAGAGAGACCGAAAGAACTCGAATAGAGTGAAGAAGATCGAAGAAAGTATAGGAACAAGTTTCGNACTCTAGTTGAGGTCTTGATATAGGCAAAGTTTCACGTCAAAATTCGAAACTTTGACTTAATGGAAAAAATGGGGTCCCATAGAAAAACTATAGTAAAAAGCCGATATCTCAGCCAAATCTCAACTTGGGCACATATCCTCTTAGGTGTTTTCTAGTCTATGCATTCCCTACTTGTGGACAAAATTTCAGCTCAAAAGCTTGTTAGCACCTCGGGTAGTTCCCTCGTAAGTAAAAGAAAAGAATTTCTTAAATTCAATAACTCTGTGACTGTAGGTTGCTTAGAGTCGAATGATGTCTCCAATTACACATGGTACTTGACACTATCCCACCTTATTTCCAGCTAGAAATCTGTATTTTGGTTAACAACGAGGGAGGAAGTATCCTTAAAGGGGTTATTCAAAAGAATTTGTCAGTCGCTTTGCATATTTCAGGAGACTTACTGGTGATTTCTCAAGAGAAAGAATCAATTAGGGATAATCTATGTTTTATAATTTTTCATAAGTTAAAAGAAATATGAATGTTTAACTTTCATAGATTTTTTCTTGGTGGATTTGGTTTTATTTATGCAACTGGCATTACATCTGAAGATATAATGTACAATACTCTTCCGCTTTATCATTCGCTCGGTAAGTTTTTTCCTAAAGAAAAAATAATAATCAATTTTTGAATTTAATCGATTTCCTATTTTACAGGAGGTTGGATTGGCATTTGTTATAGGTACGTTTCAATTGAATATTAGCTCTATAACAGCTGTCTTTTCTTTTTCTTTTCGTTTAGTCTTTTAGGTGGTTGTACAACGGTATTACGTAAAAAATTTTCAGCTTCAAATTTTTGGAAAGATTGTATTAAACATAAATGCACAGTAAATATAAAATGATTTGAACAGAATAAACATTTTTTTTTGTTGTTGTTCTTTTTCAAATAGGGTTTTTCATATGTTGGTGAATTATGTCGATTTTTACTTGCTCAACCACCTAGTGAATATGATCAAAAACATTCTATTCGTCTTTGTGCTGGTAATGGACTTCGACAAAATTTATGGATACCATTTACTGAACGATTTAATATGCATAACATTTATGAATTTTATGCTGCAACTGAAAGCAATGCTTATTTTTGTAATATTATTTTCTTACATGTGTTTTTTCTATTAAAATTTTTTACCTTTGTTTCTTCTTTGATAGTTAATATTGATTGTCATCCAGGTGCTTGTGGTTTTTTTTCTGTACTGATACCTAGTCTACTTGGTTCTGTTCTTGTTAAATTTGATTCTGAAACAATGGAACCATTACGTGATGCAAAAACAAAATTATGTGTACGATGTAACAGAGGTGAACGTGGTTTACTATTAGGTATGATTAAAAAAAGTTTATTAAATGCATTTGATGGTTATGTTAATAATCCATCTGGAACAAATCGTAAAATTGTTGAGAATGTTTATAAAATAGGTGATCGAGCATTTAATACAGGTAAAAATTAAAATTAAAAACAGATGAATATGTAATGTATGTATCTGTTTTGTTTTTTGAATAGGCGATGTTATTTTTGCTGATAAATATGGATATTTTTATTTTTGTGATCGTACAGGTGACACATTTCGTTGGAAAAGTGAAAATGTTTCAACAATTGAAGTTGAAAATATTCTTATGAATATTCTTAAAAAAAATGATATTGTCGTATTTGGAGTTTCAATACCAGGTTCAAAATTCTTTTTGTTTTCTTTTTCAAGAAATAAGTTAATAAGAAAATTTTTCATTTATAGGATTTGATGGAAAAGCAGGAATGGCTGTTATGCTTGATGATCCCTCAATATCAATCGATTTGAATACATTAGTAAACGAACTTAAAAAACAAGGATTACCTCAATATGCTCGACCTTGTTTTATCCGTTTGACAAAAAACATTGAATTAACAGGTTGATTTATATTTAGCGAATTATCGAAATGTTTTTAGACCAGATGTTTGTTCACTTTTGATTCACTAGAAAGCATTTTTGACGAGTCAAAAACTATGATTTGGTGGTCTTTCCAATATGACCGACCCTACTAGGAAACTACCTGAGGTGATACATCGTGTTTGAAATGAGATTCCAGTCATTAAGTAGGGTCTGTGAATACTAGAAGAAATCTCGAAGAATTCCTTTCGGATGCGCTGCCTCTTTGGAGTTAAAACCGTTACACTAGAGTTTTTATCTTTGGCACGGTATTTATTTTAAAAAAATCGGACAAATGAATTTTGGTCTTAAGCATTGTCCATAGATTGTCATAACTCCAAAAAAAACAGTACATGGGAAAGAATCCCTCTAGACTTCTTTAAGTATCATCAGGTCCTATCTAATGACTGGGGCTTCATCTCAGATAGTTCTCTCATAAGCGATACCTTTTAGTCAAGTGAAGCTATAAGAATTTTCCTAATAGCTCCTTTCAACGTAAAACAATTGTCGGCTTTTCAATAATGAGTATTTAGGAAAAATGAAAATTTAGGCATCGTTTCGGGAGATAAAAACGAAACTTCAAATAGTATATTGTGAAGAGTAGTTTCTGATTTACAAGCTAATATATAAAGAAAGATCCGAAGTTTTAGTTTCGAAACACAATAGGGAAAATACGAAACTTTTTCGTCTAACGTAATTTTTTAGGCATTTCAAAAATGATTTGACTATTCTCTAATAAAACTTTAAAGACCATATTCGAATTTCGAAAAGAGTACAAAATTCTGGTCTTAACTCATTGAAAATGCTTTCTAACAATTCAAAAGTGAAGAAGCATTTTATCGAAAAACTTTTTTCAATTGTCCATTATTTTGTTAATATAATATTTACTGTTTTTCTTTTCTTTTTTTTTATAGGTACATTCAAAGTGAAAAAGACAGTTTTTCAGGAAGAAGCATATGATCTAAATCGTATCAACGAACCAATCTATTATTTAAATCAACAGAAACAAATTTATGAACGATTAACACCAGAACTTCACGAATTAATACTTAAAGAAAAAATTAAATTTTAAAATAATTTTGTTTTTTCTTTTATATTCCGTCCTATGTTCGTTTGTTTTTCTTCTATTGCAATTTATTACGTGATAGTTTTTTTTTCTTTTCTGTTTTCATTCTCTGCAGTGAGTAAAATATTATAACACAGAATGTTTTTCGTACATCTATATCAATTGTTATTCAATGTTCTTTTTATTAAAATATTCCTGCTTAGTCTTTTCATAGATATAAGATGATAATATTTCTGGGATTTTTTTTGTTTTGAACTAAAGATATAAAGTCCGTTGGTTTGCTTTTTTAGACAAAAAAAAAGAACAGATGTGGATTGAATGGTTTATTCGATGTTCGAAATCAATTAGTAATTGGCCATTAAGACTTTTTTGTGATGAATGCAAACGACATCGTTATATGCTTTCATTTAGTCCACTTTTATTTATTAATAATCGAAAAATTAATAATATTTCATTCAATAAATATGATTGGAAAAACAATGAAAGAAAATATTATAGGAATAAATATCATACACAATCAACTTTATTAGCTTCATCAATTATTGGTGCTTTAACAAGTGCAGCTGTTGTATTTTCATGGAAAAATGATGGAGTCAGTGATGAAGAATTGTAAGTTTAAGAAAATATTTATTTTTGATTAGTATTTTTCTAATTTTCATTAATATTGTAAAAATTCAAAAGGCAGTTAGTTTTTATTGTCGAGTTTATCAGATTCTGATAGTTTTGAGATATATAGAAACATTTCAACGGTCTTCAAATATTAATTTCCAAACGTTGAATTCAAGAATTTTGAATTTATATATCTACAGAGGTTGAAGAATCACTGATTAAGACATGTCACATGTGCAGAATAAGCTTGTTTCGTACCTTGCATTTTGACTGAAAAAAATTTCCTAATCCTAACCTGGAAAACTTTTAACCTTACCGTATTGTTACCCTAACACATCCTGTAGAGCGTCTATCCTTACTCTACCCTGTAGAATCTCTACTAAAGGTGTCAGTGCTTCTAGGAACGGAAAATAAAAGTGACATTCATAATATGTACCTTCATCCTACTCTACCCTTTAGAACCTATACACGATTACTCGACTCTTATCCTACCTTGTAGGATAGAGTGAAGTAACCTAGCACATCACTATCATTGTCGATGATTAATGTTTTCTCCTACAGGAATATTTGACACTCGACGAGATTTGTTCAATTTTGTCTTATACAATTGTTTAAATGACTGAACAGACACTAGGATTGTAGCTGTTTTCCTTTGAATCGATCTATCTGACAGTATAGCAAGAAAACTACATAAAATAAAAGAGAATAATTTTGAATCGATGTGTGTTTATCTAAATACGAAATAAAAATTTATTGGAATTTATTTTAATTATGGGCAAAATTTTCATGTCAAGACTTGTTGGACAATATGAAGAATCAAATTTTTGTGTTTTATTAAACTTTATTAGACAATGATAGAATAAAAATGAAAAATATGATTCTGGATTCTTATAGTTTAATGCTTGAAGAATCCTTAAAATAAAAGTGATAATTCTAATTTTCAAATTTATCAATGTTTAATCTAATAAGAATTTTTAATTTAGACAACAAGCAAGTTCTGATGAATATTTACTTAATATGACGCATAGCCAAGTTGATGAAGCTTTACTCTCACTTGGTTGGGAAAAAATTCTTCGAAAAGATCATTTATTACTTTATCGTAAATATGATAAGGATTTACAAGTTTATTCATATAAAAGTAGATAAATTTCATTTATCTCTATTTTATTTAAGTATTTTTCTTTAAGTTTTCGGTACATTTAATGATATATCTGCAATAGTTTTTCTTCAAGTACAAGTAAGTAAGTTTTTCAAGTAAACGAATTTTATTTTATAGGAAATTTATGTCTTTGAAAGCTTGATCTTGATTATCGAATGAAATGGGACGATCATGCATTACGTTTATCTATAGTTGATACAGATGAAGATACTCAAAGTGACATTGTTCATTGGATACAAAAATTCCCATTTCCATTAAATAATCGTGATTATATTTATGTTAGACGTTATTGTCTTGATATATCAATAAGTACATCGCCGAAAATTATTATTAAATGTCATTCAACTAATCATCCTAATGTTCGTAATGATACAAAATCTGTACGAGTTAATAAATATGAATCATCAATGATTATTCAATCAAAACATAAACTTGATGAAGTTAGTTTTAACATAACAAACAAATTTTATTTATTTTCTTTTTCTTTTTCTTTTTTTAAAGAAAGGAATGAAATTTTTATTAACATATCATGAAGATGCAAAAGCATCGATACCTACATCAACTTACTCATATTTAGCTCAAAGTGGTAATGTTTATTTTGACACTATTTTTTACTTAAATTATATCTGGTTTTTTTTTCTTTTAGGAATTCCTGATTTTGTAGAAAAATTACACATTGCAGCTAAAAAACTTCCAAAATGTAAGAACATTTTATGAACCAAAATCTAAAAAAAGTGTTAAGGTATAGAGGTAAAATTTTGGATATATCCCTCCCCTACAGACAACAACGTAGCCATGGGAACATTAGAGACCATGACAGATATTGTCAATATACGATCATAGTCCGTATTTCAATACTGTGTGGTTATAATATAACGAATGGTCCAGAAATTTTGAAATGAACCTTTCTTCATTTTTCGACCGATTATAAAAGGGCTAGCAGGAATTTGAAAACCATCAGTTAAAATCAGAATTTTGTGCTCTTCGTTAATCTAGGTTCAAAATATTTGTAATACTTGTACATTAAGAGTTATAAGCACTCTTCTGAGAGGTTCGAAAAATAAAATCTAGACTGTTTTCAGTGCACAGAAAAACATCTTGTATAGAACTAACATTTACACCAAAAGAAAGAACAAATATTTGTGCACTTTATGCTATGCAAAAGAATCGCTAATAGAACGTATGCAATAAATATCAACATTACTGAGAAGAACATCTATTGTTTAGGTGACGAATCAACAGATTTTCAAAACAAGATTCAGTCAAAGAAAAGGAAGCGGGAATTAGAAAAAAAAACGCTGAAAAACACCACAGAATGAGTTTTCAGCGTGATAGTGTGAATATTCTCCGTCGCAACTTAATTTTCAGGTCATACAAAAATTTACCCATAATTCTTTACCTAAGTTCCACAAAACCTTGGAGCCTACAATCGTGAAAAGTACAAAGTTCTAACTCTAATCCTATGTTTTGAAACTTCTGGTGGACCTTTTAATTGGTTGAAAAAATAAAGGAACACATTGTTTCAAATCTTTCGAACCACCCGTTATATGAACTAGTTGGTTATTGCATTTCTGAACGATTTATTTAAAGGATGGTGAAGAAATGTGTCCCAAAATAGAGGTAATAAAACAATCTCTCTCTGATTAGCAGCATCGTGTTTCACGTTTTAATCCGGCATCGATTACATTAACATCGTTTTTTTTTATTTTAGCGAAACAATATCTCAGCATTAATTCACTTCCACAATGCCGTTTTCTTAATGATATCTCTAGTTGATCTTCAAAAAAAACACAAAATTATTTCTGTTTATGGCGTTTTTCTAGTAGTACTAGAACAGAATTTTTGTAGAAAAATTGTTTACTTTATTCACTAAAAAAGAATTGTTTTTTTGTTAACACTTTTATTCGAGTTTACTCGAATGGTTTGTTGTTTTTGTTTTCAGATTTGTTATTTTAGTATAAGAAAATGGCGATAAAAACTTTATTAAAAATATATCACAAGAAAACTGATGAGTCACCAATTCAATAAATTAACTTGATGGACAAAAAAAATAATTTAAAGAAAAACATGTAGGATAATATGAAAGCATTTATTGTTGCCGAAATTTCTTAATGTATATCAAACAAATACTATTCATTCTATGAAAATCAATTGCTTCAGAAACTTGGACATATTTAAAAAAGTTTATAATACTTTTTGTACAGAGTATAACTAATTTATCTACTAATTATAATAATTTTGATTATTCAAATGATGGTGATAAAAATGAAAACTTCTACTTAAGCTTTCTAATAGTAATTATTAATATATATGTGAAAGATAATATTCAGTTATCAATTTATTTATTAGATAATGAAAGAATTATGTACAATCTCGCGGAAAAAGTTTTCTGATAAAATCGGGATTTTAATGAACCACGAAAGTCAGATTGTTTATGCGTCGTTACACACCGATGAAAACCGCAACACATAAAAAGCATGGTGAGAACAGAGACAGCCACATCACAACGTAATTTTTTTGTAACTTAAACCGCAGTTTTTTAGGTTCTCACCGCGATTTTGATCCGTGTGTCTAGAATCATAAATGGTCTGACTTTTGTAGTTATACACGATAAGAAACAATGTTGTTTTTCAGGAATATGAAATTGTCATGTCAGATAATATAAATTGGTTGCTTCAGACTCATAAAAAGAAAACAATTCCACGAAGCATATGAATTGAATGCAATAGGACTACAATGAAATAATTTACGGGAAATATTGTAACACGTTTATGGCCCTCGATAGAATCATTAAAAGCTATCAATTATGTCAATATACAGTTTATCTCTATAGGTTTGATATATTTTAATAATTCCTTTGAATTAGAGCGCGGATACTAGATGTTAAGATAGTGTTTTAGGACTTAACGAGACGAATTGTGAGACGCAATGTGTTATATGATCGACTATACAATATATAGCTCAATCTAGAAGTATTTTGATATGATGATTATAAGTTTTGTAAACTTGCATAAAAATAATGTTCATGTTGTTACTATTAACGTGTTCTATATACGACTGTCTTAACGTACCTTGATTGATTTGTATGTATGCCGTTAACAAACGACTATTGATACTATGTTCATGAATCAGTAAAAAAGCAATGTATTTCAAACGCTTAGTATCATTTATGAGTCATTGCATCGGATTGAATGAAAACTTTGGCATTATGTATATGACACTTTTACGTTCGACCAAACAAATTTGTAGAGATTAATCTGTCTTTTGTTTTGTGCGTCATAATCTTCGATAAATATCGTACTCAGTGCATATGCATGGACGGCGCAAGCTCAATTTTTTAGGGGAAGCAATAAGCGTTAGAATGAGACAGAGTTGGAACCGGCCCGACCGAACTGGGCCGATACCGAACAGACTGAGATTGCCAGACCGGCTGGTCAGCACAGGCTTTTCCGGTTTAAAAAATTCTTTTTAGTATTATATTTTTCCTTTGATAAAATGTGTCGAGAACAAGTTTAAACGCATTTATCAAAATAGTCAGACAGTATTTGTTTCAGAAATTATTAGTTTTATCTTTTTCTGCTTGTCTATACTTTTTATTTTTTTAATTGACCTGTGTTTCGCTTCATGAAAAGCACAATCAAAACTGTGTTACTTGAGATTAATTTCTGAAGTTATCTCATTAATGTTTTGTTGGAGACTAGATTTGAGTTTGGACAATCGTTCTCGAACAGTAGATTTTTTAGTAAAATTTGAGTGAAAAACGTCAAAAATTGCAGTTTAGAAATCCGTTGATGGTTAACTTGTCTACTTTTCGCCCTAAAGAGACATCACAAATTCATCTTGAGAAATTTTAAAAACATGAACGACTGTGACATGATATTTTCTCTTAAGTGGTTCAAAACATGCGAGCAGAAAAAGAAAACTGAGTGTTTTTTGAAGCTACTTCCTTCAACCGATTAAAAGTGATCTGAGAAGCCGACCGATTTTTACCGGTCAGAAAAACTTTTGAAACCGGCCGGATAGGACCGATTAGAATATTCTCGACCAGTTCCAACTCTACAATGGGATTATACTCTCCTTCCAATCCATAGTTGAAAGCAAGACAGTAAAAGTTTGTTTTTCGAAATGAATTTCTCAAAGATATAGTAGCGAAAGCTTGCATTTTAATTTATTTTACAGCATATTAAGAGTTTGAGGGTAGTGTAACGTTTTTTTTTTATTGATGACAGATGTATTCAGAACGAGAGAGCAAAACTTCAGTTTTTTTTGTTATTACCTTCCGTTCACCAATCATTGAGTTTTCGAGTTGATACTCGTGTGAAAGATTGTCCGCCATTTATCAGCTATTCCTTCTTGATGAAATTATAACCGTACAAATCGATTGAAAATATTGCAGTCTTCTCATTAAAACTGATTAATTAATTATTTATGTTAGCAGCTAGTTGATCTCCTTTATGAGTACGTTCCTATATGGTGATCATGGACAAAAGCAGAAAGAAGTACAATTTTAAGTTTCTTGATAATCAAAAGTTCAGAAAACATAGAGAAATAATATATACAGATGAAACATGACCAATTAAGGGAAGCAATTGCTAACTCGTTCCTTGCTGGTGCGCCGCCGATGTGCATATGCGTACATTTTTTTGATCGAAAAACATAGTGTGATGTCTTTTTCTTCTGTTTTCATACATACTTAATTACTCAAGTAAGTATTCTTTTTCTTTTCTTTATACTACGTAGAAATGCTTATCATTGTTTAGTCATAATTATCACATTGACGTTATCGCTATTCTTAGCACATTCCTTATTTCATTCTGCACGATTGTCGTCATTTATTTCTCTCAATTTCACTTAGAACAACACCCATTAATCGTCTTTAGACTATGTTTCACCTTTGGATATTATGTGTTTTACTCGTGAAAATAGTCTCTGGATTAAGTGGTAATCCATATTTGTTTGCTAATGAGGCCGTAGGTTCACCTATTGTTTCTACAACGTCGGGTAAATTTGCTGGTCTTACTATTTGACAGACAAATGTTTGGGTTGGAATCCCTTATGCAACTCCACCCGTTGGTACATTTCGATGGCAAAAGGCCCAACCATATACTATGAATCATAGCCAAAATGACAGAATACGAAATGCAACTCACTACAGTCCATCGTGTCCACAAATTAACCGAAGAGGTTTTACTCCAGGTCCATTTGATGAGGATTGTTTGTATCTAAATGTATGGGCACCTCGAATGTCACCATCTTTGTCAACAGGTTATCCTGTAATGTTATGGATTCATAGTGGAGGATTTATAGAAGGAAGTGCAGCACAGGTGATTTATGATGGTCTTAGTTGGACGAATGCTGCTACACAAGATAATAACTCATTTGTAATAGTTAGCATAAACTACTGACTAAATGTGATGGGATTTTTCGTGTAACCGGCTTTGTTAGATAAGAATAATCAGACTATAGCAAATCAAGGCATTACTGATCAACGTATGGCAATGAAATGGGTTCAGGATAATATTGCACAATTCGGAGGTGATAAAAATTCGCTTACACTTATGGGTGAATCGGCAGGATCACATTCAGTTTGTGTTCATATCGTATCGTCATTATCTGCTGATTTATTTCATGCTGGTATACTTGACAGTGGATCGTGCGATAGTTTATCCTCTTTGCGTGATAAATCATTTGCTCATTCAACAACAAAGGATCTTGCATTACTTGTTGGCTGTAATATGACTGATGCAGTTCAACAACTAGCTTGTTTACGAGCTGTCAATAGCACTTTATTGGTAGCTTCTATAGCTAATGTGTCTATTCCATTGTCAACATCATTAGCATTTAAAGATCAAGAGAAAGTTGGTGGAATTTTTCCATTCACTTTGATCGTTGATGAAATGGAAATACCTGTTCATCCACTGAAAGCTTTTCTATCAGGAAAAGTTAATCAAGTACCCATATTAACAGGAGCGAATCATGATGAGTTTCTTTTGCGTACGCTGTATGAAGAATATTTTCATCCACCAACCAGTACTGAAGATTATTTGACTCGCATTCTACCAATTATGACGTATAATGATTCTATACTTCAAGCATTATATGCTCCAAGTCAATTCAGTGGCAATTATTCACAAGCGTTTGTCGCCTTATTATCTCAAGAGATCTATCTCTATAGTGCTCGTCGTATGGCTGGATACATGTCTGAACAACCGACATATTTGTACACGTACACTCATGCACCAGAATTTTATTGGTTGACAACACCAAACTTAATTATTTGGTCTCGTGCATATCATACAGCTGAACTATTTAGTTTGTTTCAAACACTGGCTGCTTCACTTTATGGAGATAATATTTTCGAACCCGATGAATTATCTTTGGTCACATCTCTTCGTCGATATTGGACAAATATGATAACAAAAGGTCAACCTAATAATAATGCTAGTTTAACATGGCCTGAATATTCATCTAACAGTGATCAGGTTCTAGTACTGAATAACAATATGTCCATTACGACCTTCATTAGAGTTTATCCTAATTGTAATCTTTTATCGAATGTAAAAGTTAAAGTTTTCGGCGAATACCTTGGTTTCAATGCTACATGTACAGTAAGAAAAAAATGCTTTATTATTAATTCTACAACAATCACTAGTTCAACTACAAGGTCTGATTCAACTGAAAGTACCAGCTCAAGCACAACTACCGGTTCAATTAGTACTACCAATTTAGCACCTACTAGCCTTAATCTACGTTGCTGTCAGCTTAATTTAATTTTGCTTCTTTTCATGTTTTGTATTTTTATTTTAACCTACTAAGTATTTCCACTAAACGATAGCTGTATCTTGAGATAGAAATGACTCAGCGACCTGAAGCTTGCACAATAAGCTTTTCCGTTCAACTGCCATCTCTGTACAACATGTCAGGTGGAACTTCAACAATGAGTTTATCTGATACTTCTGAGGATACATCACGGCTTTGATTTGAAAAATACCATCAAAATATGGTACCTCAGTAGCGATAAGCTATCAGTACGAATCCTTTTCAAGGTATTCATTAAATATGCACCATTCTCAGTCGAACTGATAATTGAGTGAACTGGTACTTAGTCTAAGGTATACTGACTTGGATTGGTATTCAGCTGGTCCAATTCTTAGTCGGACTAGGACTAGTGCATACCTAAGTATTCATAACTTATTAGTCTACATGCTACATATTGTTTCGATTCAAGAGTGATCAATCAGTTGGAGAGTCTTTTGCGAGTGAACGAATGAAGCAGACAATGAGAAGTATCACAATGAACAAAGTATGGGTTAGTCAGATGCAACAAGAAGAAAGAGCAAATACAAATGATGGCTAGTATTGTTACATTTACCTTCTGATTAAATTAAGCAAAAACAGATTAAAAAATCCCTACTGATAATTGACTTTTGTATGATTTTTACAGTTTATTGATTTTTCTAGCGTTTTTGTACATATTTACATCGAAGTTCAGTATAGACATTACTTTGCTTCTATCATTTGAACGATGTGTTAGCTTCGACTTGAATAATGCTTTCCATATGTTGAACCCAATCTAAGACTGTTGGAATTCCAATTTGGGTCTCTCTCTCTTGAATTTCAGGTATTGATTACTGTAATGATGTATTTGAATGTGACTAGCACACTTTTCGAAATAGCATTAAGGAAGATCAATTACTAGTACGCTGCAGCTAACTAATAACTTTGTATTACTTGAAACGAATTGAGACCTATGACTAATTCATTGAAACATTCGATTTGGATTTTGGGGTCGAAGAAAAAATATTGAGTGGAAATATCGATCTTTGATTAAGCTTAATCGCAAGCTATTGTGGTTGAGAAATCCGAATGTATAAATGGTTTTGTAGCAACTATCGAAACAAATTGAACGTTTCGGTAAACGTGTTGTAGACCGGAATTCATTATTAAGTGGTGCAAACTTACTATTATTTATTTCAAAATATAACACAGTTGGTTGTTTGCTGAATAACTCGAGAATGGAACAGGTTAGAGGTCTAAGATTTTCATTATTAAAAAGAAAACACTGAGCCATTATTTCCAATGTAAAACTCAATGAGTTAGCTTATGAAAAAGTGATCATTCAGTATCCGAAGTTTTCTCGAACATCTGTCTGAAACGTTTTCTTGTCGAATTTGAAGGCAAAAGTGGTCATTCGATAGAGAAAATCAAACTCTTTGCAACTACGCAATCCCGAGCTCTGTACTTTTTCCATTCAGAAGTGATGACTATTTTACTGGGAGACCCAAAATTGGTCAACTGACCACTGGTCAGTCTACAATGCATTCAAACAGAAGTATTCGACCGTACTAAATCGATTTGAGATATTTGTTTTTATTTTCTAATTGATCTAGTATCAAGTAGACTAGATTTTGAAAATTCAGCCCTTATGCGCCTCATTTTATCAAACGATGAATTATCCTACGATCATCTTCTTGACGACAGGTCAATTCGAAAATGAAAACAAATATCACAAATCGATTTAGCACGATTGAACACTCCTGTTGAGATGCATTTTAGACTAACCAGTGGTCAGTTAGCCAATTTTGGGGCTCCCAGTAAAATGGTCATAACTCCTGAATGAAAAAAGTACAGAGCTCGGGATTGCGTAGTAAAGAGCTTGATTTTCTCTATCGAATGATCACTTTTGAGTTCAAATCCGACAAGAAAACGTTTCAGGCCGATGTCCAAGAAAACTTTGAATACTGAATGACCACTTGTTCATAAGCTAACTCCTTGAGTTTTACATAGAAAACAATGTCTCAGTGTCCTCTTTTTAGTAATGAAAACCGTAGATCGCTAACCTGTTCCATTCTCAAATTATTCAGCAAAACAACAAGTGTGTTATAATTTAAATATGGATAATAGTAAATTGTAATGTAAAAGTAACTTGTGTTCCCTAATGCTATTATGCGAAGCGTGCTAGTCTCTTTTGAACATCATATTGTAGTAATCAGCACCAAAATCTAACTGGAACGACCAAAATCGAAAAGTTTTGAGGTTAATATATGCCTAAATCATACATGAAGAAAAACTGATAGGAAACCATAATTAATAATGCGTTTCTTTATTGAGGACGTGTGTCTCGATAGTCTTCAGTACTCGTTTGCAACATGCTTTCAAGAAATCCTTGAGTTTTCTTTACGAAAAATTTGTTTCCATCATCATACGGTATGATTAACATGGCGCTGTATGCAAACGTATCAGATGTGACAAGTTCGGTCTCGAATAGGAACATCCTCAGTAAAACTCATAGTTCATGACTTAAAAATGTGATTTGTCCATGCACTTTGATTGTAAAAGTTCAGACATATTCATGGTAGGAAAGAGCGCATAATTAGTTAACTGAGAAAAACATCTCTCAAAACATGCATTGAGACATGTACTATGAAGTTAGTCTTGTTTGTCTGAGAATGTATTCCATTTCGCAAACTTATGCAAAGTTAATTTTCAAATAAGACGTAGAGGGATGTAAAAACGCCCACCTCATGAATTCAGTCACTTCTTTACTATAAATCGTTTCTTCATGCGCAACCACCTTGATGAGGGTGAATTGAGTTGCCTAATAAATAGTGTCCTGCGGAAACAACTTTTCTGGATTCCTGTTTTTCTTTTTAGCATTCCTGTTTCTATTTTCATAATGTTTTCAGAACTTCTATGACGGCTTCATTTTTCGTGTCTGAGAGAAACTATCACTACCATCAGGCACTAGTTGCTGTCAACATTGCACTCTGCACAACGTGAGAGGATCTTAAATTAAAAAATTAAATTGTCATTGGGGATAAATTTGAATAAAATAAATCAACTATTATTTATGTGTTAAAATTGATCATCGTTAAGTTAAGAGAATGTTTTCCTTCATCAATTGAACACTTAAGAAAAGAACAAAAGAAAAAGTGCTGACACATCAACAACACCGATAAAAAACGAAAACATTCAAGACAAGAAGATAATAAGAATGTTATATTGCGAGATAATCTGGATAAAAGTTCTTTTGAAGGTGATAATCACAGAGCAAAGCAAAATGATTTTCGGGAATGCCTATTTTTTAGATCGTTCCTATTTCTGAAGTCTTCGCGGAAACTTTCGTTCTCGACCTCCGCAGAAAATGGGACATGAAAGAACCGATCCCACAAGACACTACTAATAACTATGCTCGTAGCATACGTCACTAGAAACGGCTTCCATTCGCATTAATCAAGCCTCAACATTACCAGATGAACTTAATAATAGTAATTAAAAAAATATTGATTTTCCTTCTTTCAACTGTTTAGCCATGTAGAACTTTCAATGTTGAGAATGACTGATTTTATTCTTTAAAACAAAGAAAATATGATAAATGTTACAAAGTCTTTAGAATTCAATTGACTGCATTATTTCATATATACTCTTCTTACCAATGATCTGTGTTAGTTTTTAATGAAATATTTTCTGTTTCTTTCCGTTAAATGAGTAACGTACCAAACAAAGTAAACTTATTTATTGACAATAAATTATATCAGAAAATGGCCAAAATTAGACACTCGTTGAAACCACAAAAAATGGCTTTTGAAGAACGTAATAGAAGACACATTTGTAAATAGTAAGTGATAAGACAAAGAAAACGACCTTGAGTCTTCTAATGTGTACCGATCTTTGATTCATCATCCATGTCAGTCAAAATGTATTATCGAATGTTTTTTGTTTTAAAACAGTTTTTATTACATATTGACATCAAGCAAATCGATACTGCAAGATAACATAAAATGAGATAATAGATCATCATGTTCACATAGAAACAATTATTTTCTTAACCGGATAATTTTCAAGTTGATTTTTATCATTTAATTTAATTATCTATTCAAATAAATAGAGTATGTTATTAATTAAAAAAAACTCAATGTTTGCATGACAAAAAAAAAGATAAATCAACATAGAAAACGAAAATAATGTTGTTTATTGTGTCTGTGTACAAGCAAAGTCAAGGACAGAAAAAAGAAGTTTATCTTGTTATCAACCACTTGATAAGACAGAATTTCGAGGTTGTGAAAGAAAAAAAATACATTTATTTGACTGAAAATGGACATGGATACAAGTATAAAATTTGACGATTCTATATATAAATCAGCTGAGTATTATCGAAATACATCAGCACCATCACATGATTCAAAAACAATTATTAAATATATTGCACCACGTGTTATTAAAGCTAATCCTACAAACAATCCTCAAGGACTTCATCGTTGTATAGCTTGGGCAAATGTTGGTTCCAATTTTGCCACAACAGCAGTAAGTCATGGTCTTGCATCACTTATTCAAAATTCAAAATATTCAACAATGTCATCAATTCATAGCATTGATGGTAAACGTATTATTGATGAACAACGTGAATTAGCACAAGTAACTGAAACATTTGGTAACACAATAGTAAAATATTGTACTTTACAAGCACATAATCGTATTCATGAATTACAAATACAATGGCTTGAAAAACATCTTAAAGAAAACGGTGTAATTGTGGAAAAAATGTTTCAAATAGAAATGGAAAGTGCAAAAAAAATAATACATGAAACTTTACAACAAAAATCAAATTTAGAAAAAAAAATAAATGAAGCAGATAGAACTACAAAAGCACATGATAAACAATATGAACAATTATTAGCAAAACGAAATACTTATAGTCAAGATTTATTTGAGTTTGAACGTAAAATAGCACAAAATAATGCTGAATCGCTATTTCTTCAACGTCGTATACATCATTTCAATGATGAAAACAAATTTTATTTGTCACGAAATCAAGTTTTACATGATCGAAAAGTTCGTTTACGTTACGAATTAGATGAAGAAATATTTGCTCAACATTCATTACAAATGGAATTCCAAGTATTAGAAAATGAAAAAATAACAAAAGAAGATATGCATATAACTTCTCTTGATGATGTTAAAAAATCACTTGATATAACAGAAGTAGCAAGTAATCAACCATGGAAATATTATGCTGATCAATTAACTGATGAAGTTCAACGTATGCGTATTGAATTTGAACAAAAACTTGATGTGCAGCGGGAAGAATTACATCGAAACTTTGAACTTGAACTATATCGTTTTCAAGTATATAAATCAAGTTCAGATTCAGCTATAACAAGAGATAATCTAGTAAAATTAGAACAACATCAACGCGAACAAAACGATGTTGCACAACAAATAGCCTCTATACATGGAAGTATTAGTGAAACAATTATGAAAATAAAAACAATAGAAAAACAAATAATATCTGAAAAATATGATTATCATATAAATGCAAAACAACAAATAGATTCGCTTTATCAAATGATACGAGATCGTGAACGACAACTTGATGAAGCTATTCGTGATCGAACAGTATTTAAACAACAAATTGAATTTTTTAAAGAACGAGTTGATCGTTATTCAAGACAAAAAACAGATAACTATCATAATCGACCAGTAAGTGTTCAAGACATTTATTCATCATCGAAATTGGCAAGTTCATCTATTCTTAAATCAACACAACGATCATCATTACAAGAATTGAAATATGAAAGCAATGAACAAAAACGTTCTTTAACACCACATTTATCACCAAAGACTACTAGTCAATCGACTTTTTCACAACGTCCAAAATATTCAACGATTATGCGAATTGACGAAGTAGAGATATTAAATGTCTTAATTTTATTAATCTCATTTATCTTGTTTACTTATAGGATGAAGGTACATTAACAAATTTTGCTGATTTCAATATTGATCAAGGTTTAAAAATTTATTATCACCAGTAAAATTTCTTTTTCTTTTTATTTAATATAGATTGTGAAGAACTCTACAGATTATTAAATAATTCTAATATAGATGAAATAGCTATTATTCAAGTACTTTGTAATAGAAGTGCTGAACAACGTTTGGATATTCGAGATAAATTTAAACGACTTTTTAAGCAAGTATGTTGAAAACATTAAAACTTTATTTTTCTCTTAAGAATTTTGTTTTAAGAATCTTAATGATGCTCTTGAAAAGATACAAGATTATACTTTAAGCAAACTTTTAAGAATATTATTATTATCACCTATTGAACGTGATTGTTTGGAATTAAGAAGAATATTAAAAAGACCAACTATAGATGAAGATATTCTTGCAGAAATATTCTTTAGTCGGTCAAGTAAACATATTGAAACAATGCGAGATCGCTATAAAAAATGTAAATGACAATATTGTTTTGCTTTTTTGAACTCCTTAAATCCTTAAATATATAATATTCTTCTAGTATACAAAAATTCAATTGAACAAGATATTATTGGTGATCGAGATAGTCCTTCAAAGAAACTATTTCTTGCTTTATTAAAATCTAATCGTCCAGAAAGTAATGATATTGATGATAATGAAATATTAAAAGATGCCAGACAATTATGTGAAGGGGCAACAACATGGAAAACCGATGGATCAATATTTGTTCAACTTCTGTGTACTCGCAGGTTTACTTTTGTTTTAAATTTTAAATTAATTATGATTTATTTTTTGTTAATAAAGTAACGCACAATTGAGAAAAATATTTGCAAGCTATCAACAATTTGGTAAAACTGATATTGAACAAGCTACACAAGTTTATACTGATGGTGATCTTTATCGTGCTCTTATGGCTATTGGTATTTAAAATAAAATTTTTATTTCATTTATTTAACTTTGATTTGTTTCAAGTTCGAATTATTCGAAATCGACCACGATTTTTTGCTTATGAACTCAAGAGAAGTCTTAAAGTAAAATATTTATAAACTCTTAGTTATATAGTAAATTTTTGTGAAACACGATCTAAAGGTGTGTTAAAGTATAGATGTAGGAATTTGGATTCACTCCATCCTAGAGCTCGTCGGGTTGGATCCGACGAGCTCTACCCCCTCCGTAGACAGACCGTGACAGACATCCTCGTAACTTCTCACAGGTCATGAGAAAGACATCCAGACAACCGATTACAAATTGTGACAGCCGCTGGCTAAAGACCGTTACGGACTGTAGCAGAGATTGTTGATATACGATCAACTATCGTATATCAATAATGTTTCGTTCTAATGCATAAAGTATCCTGGTATTACATTTCTGGAGAATTAAATAAAAGGATGATGAAAATTTATTTCTCAAAGTAGATAGAATGAATCCATCTCTCTGTGATTAGCAATAGCAATTACATCATGTTTCACATTTTAATTTCATAGAGATTGCACTAACAGCTCTTTCTTTAGGGTACAGCAACAAATGATGATCATATAAATCGTATAATCGTTACACGTTGTGAAGCTGATATGGTTCAAATAAAAAATGAATTTGAACAAATTGCAAAGAAATCACTTTATGATTCTATTCAAGTGTGTTTATTAATAAATCAAATATATGATTTCTAAAAATTCTTTTTTTCTAGATGAATACAAGTGGAAATTATAGACGAGCACTTCTAGAATTGTTACGTCATCGTATTGACGTAAATAGTACAAAATTAAAATTAGAATCTTTGAATCAACAAGCAGGAATGCTCACCAATGAAAATCTAAAAGGTGCATCGGTACAATGGAGAGAACCAATTGAAAGAAATGATAGGAATGTATTCATTAAATCTACATTAGAACGTAGTGCTAGTGATCAAGCAATAAATGAAAAAGGACAATATGAGGTTTATCAATCATCGACTAAATCTTTCCATGGTCAATTTGATCATAATAATCTAGGAAAAAGTAATAGTTTATCGACAATAAATGCAACAAGATCGAAATCACTACGTATTGATCGACGTTCATTTGTACCAATGCCAACAACTGCTGAAAATCATTCACAATTAAATGATGATGCAGACTAAGAAAACTTTGAAAAAAACATACTTTTCTTTTTGAAAAAATATTTGACATGTTTATTTTTTTTCGAATCTACAAATGATTTTTATTGGATAATAGTTAATCATGATTATTAGAAAAAAATTATAGTTATTTAATCAAAATATTTTTCATTCCATTTTTAATAGTGACAATAGTGAATGGATTTTTTCTTGTATGAATTAAATTTTAATAGATTAATTAAATTGCAACATACGTAATCTTGGTTTGTTTGATTTATTTTGCCCAATTTGAACCTGATTGAATGTTTTCAAACCAACCAGATTGGTTGGTTTACCTTTGTCGACCCGCTGATTCAGTAACAGAATTCAATCGATGGAACACCGATTCGCTTAATATATCTATTAACCAGTTAGTTCTTTTGAAAAAAAACTATTTTCGACAAGGATATACAATATGAAACTCATATAATTCTTAGATTTACTGGCAGTAACAATTTTTATTATAGTCTGTCGTCGTCAATATATGCTAACACTAATAATGAATGAAGAACTCTTTCAAAATGTTTCATCTGGTAACTCACAAAAGGTGATATTGAATAATCTCTATGCTTTGCCTTGCCTGGCTTTCTTTAACCCTCCCCCCCCCCCTCAGAAACCAACTTTGTTATTTTTTGTTCGATTTCAACCAAATTTTTCGGATAATATTAGACTAGGCTAGGATAGATTATGGGTGAACTATCTCTCCCAAACCTTCATTATTATAACGAGTTATAGTCAATTTATTAGTCAAAAGTACCTTGTACGCGGGCAAGGTTTTCACAATGAGGACACGAGCTACTAAGCCGGGNTCTTTCACCCCCCCCCCCCCCCCCCTCAGAAACCAACTTTGTTATTTTTTGTTCGATTTCAACCAAATTTTTCGGATAATATTAGACTAGGCTAGGATAGATTATGGGTGAACTATCTCTCCCAAACCTTCATTATTATAACGAGTTATAGTCAATTTATTAGTCAAAAGTACCTTGTACGCGGGCAAGGTTTTCACAATGAGGGCACGAGCTACTAAGCCGGGCTGGTTTTTAAGTCGTAGAGTATCCTTAGGGCTAGATCCTGATACAGCCCGCTTTTTGAATTTTCCATCGTTTTTTTTGAAAAATCTTTTTTGAAAAATTCTCGAATTCATGGGCAAAAAAAGTCGCTAAACAAAACGAAAGGTCCAAGTTTTTTATTTCAGCAGAAGAGAAATTCAAAAATCAGGCTCTATTAGGATCTAGTCCTAAGGGTACTCTACAACTTAAAAACCAGCTCGGCTTAGTAGCTGGTGTCCTCATTGTGAAAACCTTGCCCGCGTACAGGATACTTTTGACTAATAAATTGACTATAACTCGTTATTATAATGGAGGTTTGGGGGAGATATTCCACCCATAATCTATCCTAGCCTAGTCTAATATTATCTGAAAAATTTGGCTGAAATCGAACGAAAAATAACAAAGTTGGTTTCTGACAGACGGGAGAGGGGCTTAATTAAGATACGATTTCTTAACAAACGATCGATAAATTTTATGTTTTTCTGTTTCAAATCATGTTGTAACACAAGTAAACAACATCTTAATCCATATAAGAATACTACTATAGACAGGAACAAAGGTGAATTACAAAGTTCGAGCTTTTTATTAGACATTATTCTTTTGAATTCTTCATAGCTCGATATTTTCACAGTTTGCATGAGATTAGCAGTTAGCAAAATGTTTATAATGAACTGAAAACTCTTTCTAATATTTTTTAATAAAAGCATGACCTGAAAACTATTTTGTGAAGAGTTTCTGACAATCACATAAAAGCAGTCTAGAAAACTGAGCCTGAAAAATCGAGGTGAAAATCTTTTATTTAGGCTGAATTTAATTTCTAATGGCCGACTAAATTTTCGTAAGTATGATTAATTCATGCATCAATATCCAAGGTCTTCGTTGTACAATGAAAAAGTGTGATCTGAAAGTTTAGAGCTTGAATTTTGATGACAACTAGAAACTTGTCAATTGGATACTTTCGAACTCATAGTTTTAGATCATTAAAACCATGAAAATCGGTAATAAAGAGAAAAATAGATTAGTTTCAGTATTCTAAAACTCGATACAAAACAAGTTGAAAAAGGGTCTGTTGTAAAAATTCGATCCGACCAGTTCAATGCCAAGTCTGTGGGCTTTGTAGTCAACTGATAGACTAATTTAGCAAAGTCGTATTTAACTTGATTATGTTTTATCGTCCTTCATTGAACTATTTCAGTCAATAATAGTTCTACTACGATTAAGAACTTTCATTGCTTTGTGAGGGAACCTCTTCAGCTACCCCTTTCCGATTTCAATGATTATTTTTTACCTACAGATAATATATCGTGTTCTAATGAGAACTCTAAAAGGATTTGGATTTCTATTGATATTTTATTACGCTACTGAATTTTTAATATGTTTATTTTCGATAAGTTCTAGGTTTTTGGGAAAACTCGTATTTGCGAGTTTTATCTGAAACTTTGTGCATATAGAGCACTCAAATGGACTAGCTTCCATAAAATAACTACTAAGATTTGAAAAAAGTCTGTTTGAGATATGAAGCTTTCAAAAATACATGTTGCATACACTATCCATAGCGAGGAGTCATAGCTTGAAAGCTTCATATCTCGAAGAGATTTTGTTCAAAACTTGTGAAGCTCTTTATGGCAGCTAGTGTAGTTGAGTTTTCTATATGCACAGAGTTTTAGATAGAAATTCGCAAATACGAGTTTTTCGGAAACATGCACCTCCTCGAAAACACATATATTGAAAACTCTATAGCTGAGTCAAATATTAGTATGAAACTGAATTCTTGTAGGATCTTTTTTAAAAAATTATTTATTATACACAGGAAAATAATCATTGAAATTGGAAGGCAGTAGTTGAAGAGGTTCTCTCATGAGTAGCTACATTGTTTGACACGTAGCTTCAAGACACTATGTGCACATTTCAATGCCAACAGCTATAAAATGACTCTAGACAAATCACTAGAAGTTTTTTTTCTCGAATCATCCATCCGATTGCATCCTGACTGCACTGTAACGTAAACTTATTCTTGTGACTAATTAGCGTGTATGGAGTGCTCAAGTGAATGAACACAAGGACTTTGCGACTGATCTGCCTTCTGTCCAGAACCACAACTACTGTAATAATATCTATGCTACGGAAGATATGGCTATTGAATCTATCGTTAGATAGCGCTCCATAACATAAGGTAGACGAAAAGTAGCTATATTCTTCTTCTTTAATTTCTATTGAGTATGAAAAATAGAACAAGCAGACACTGTCGTAAATGTAGCCAAATTCGGTATTTCAATTCAAAAGACGAACGAACTAAATCATTGTTGGTGTTCATCTTGTTGCTTATCAATCGAACGTAGATCGATAATTGTTAGTGGAAGAATTGTACCGCTTAATCATCAAACGTGTGAAACGTCTCTACTATATTTGATCGTTACTTACATGTTATACTATCTTTGGTTTTATTTTTAATCCTAAGTATAATGTCTCTTAATCATTATACTTATTCTATTTATTTATGTTTTAACACAAAAAAAATATAAATATAATACACACACACAAACTTTGGGCAGAAATATTTTTCATTAATGAATGAAACTCACTATTGCTTGACAAGAAAAATGGAGAACAAAATATCTCAAAAAGCTTTTTTGTTTTTGACTGCTGTTGATTATTTTGTATCGCAAAGAAGAGCAACACCACGTAAACACCTAAAAATGAAATAATTTAAACAAAAAAAATAAACTTCTCAAGAAAAAACAAATAAAATTTTTACCAAAAGTCCGGATTGTTATTATTTATTTTTAATGCTAATGAAAATATAAAAGTTAAATCAGTACGTCGTGGTTTTTTATATACTGGACAAACGTAATAAGCATTGCCCAACGGTTTTGGTTCATTTGTAGCATAAACCTACAATTATTTATTTTGTTTTTCAAGTAAAATATAAAAAACATGAATAACTTACATGTACAACAGGTAAATCCGAATAAAGTTGTTTCGGAGGTGGATCAGATAAATGTCCACCTTTTTCACGCGACATACGCCATGCAGCACCATCAATTTTCAATCCATAGATGTAAACACCTTCAGCTGGTGGTTGTGTTACTTCTTCTTTTGTTATCATTTTTAATACATCATTAGCAAGAACGACATTATCTAATGACCAACCTTTATGATTACGTGTTATTTCTTGACGCATAGCAGTTAGAAAACCCTAAATAAATTTTCTTAATAAATAATAATAAGTTTAAAAAATAATTACTTGTGGATTAAAAAATCCAGTAAGCCAAAAAACATTTGGTCGTCCACTAAATAACCATGTAAAGAATTGTTGATTTCGATCTAATAAATCACTAAACCAAAAACCTAATGTTGCGGAATCCCATGATACTTTTCTCCATGTTGCTGGTACACGTGCATCAAATATATTATCAAGTGCATCTTTCAAATTTTCATTCATTATAATTGTGCCATCAATAGCTAGTTTTAAATCTTTTAATGTACTGCGTACAACTGTTATAACACGTTGCATACGATCAACTTCTTGTTTTAAAAATATATTTAATGGTTGAAATGTACCTTGTTTTTGTAAAGCAGCACGAACTTCATGTGGAATGTAATCTTCAGGTAATTTACTTAACATATCATCGCATTGCCGATAAACAACTGATTCACGTGTTTCACCACCACCGGCACCAGCATCTTTTGGTTGAATATTAACAATTGTAGCTAAAATTGAATCAGCGGTGTTTGTTTGATATGTTATGTCAGCATTTGGATGAAGACCAAAGACATTTGGACTATCAAATAAACTCATCGTTTCAATATGTGAACGAAAATCTTGAATTGTTTTACAACGTGGAATTTTATAATTAGGTGCAAAATCAAATTTATCAGTAAACATATTATCAAGAAACCATACACGTGTATAAGTATTTAATAACCGTTTATCAAAATCATCTGTTACACGACCACCATAATGAACTTAAAAAGAAAGAAAACAACGAAAATAAAATAGAAGTATTTATTACAATCCTTGCAAAATTAAAATGTGAAAGACGATGTAGCTAATCATAAGGAGATTGTTTCATTTTATCTATTCTCGGATACATTTCTTCACCATCCTTTTACCTGCTAGAAATACAAACAGGAAGTATTTTAACGAGACGTTATTGATATACAGTCTGCGATTGTATATCAACAAAATCTATGATGCATTGTTGCTAAGGAGGAAACCTCGCCAAATGTTAATTCAATTTTACACCAATACTATGTTCATTTGATGAGTAATAGAAAAGTTTCAAATGGTTTGGTTTTCCAAATCTTCGTTCTCGAGATGGATTTTTCAATCAAAAACTGTGGTCTCCTTCAGGTTACGTAAAAAATCAATTTTTCGAGTTTCACTTTCAACTATTGTACGAGCAAAGTTCTCAATGAAATCAGTTGATTGTGCAAGTTTGAACTGTTCTAATACTTTTTTTTCCTGAAGATGTAAAGATATGAAGAAAATTTGCTTTTATACAGGAGAGAATTTCGAATAGTGAACATCTCAGGATAGGAGATATTAGAAAAGTTATAACCCACCCAATGAACTAATCTCCTGAAAAACTTTGTTCATACAAAGGGTGAAATCGAAACTCGAAAGTCTATTTTTCAAATGACTACAGTTTTTGTTGACAAACCATCTCAAGTACGAAGGCCCGAAAAATGAAATCATTCGAAACTTTTCTATTACTCATCAAATAAACATCGTTTCATTCGACAATCGATTTGACATCTGAAGGGGTTTTCTCGTAAGATGTCTGTCATAGTATGTAGGGAAGGGCGTATAAACTTCTGCCCTATATAATTTAACCTTGTGTTTAGATCGTGTTTTATAAAAAAAACAAACTTCATATTATAAATAATATTTACCTTCACCAATCATATATCGAACAGTTGGCCATGAAACATTCCACTTAGAACCCATTTCATCCATATGATTTTGAATAAATTGAATTGTAGCTGAAAAATCTGATTGATTAAATTCATATGGAATATTCCCTATTATGAAAAACAAATTAATTATATTAAGAATAATTTTAAAAGTAATATTAAATATAAAACATACATCCAAGTGGACCAAATTTACGACGTTCTTGAACAGTTGTATGAAGAAAAGCAACAGCATATAACATGATCTTCCATTCAATAAAGCTGCTAGCATCGACTACTTCCTAAAAAAAAGATGAATTCAATTGTTTTTTTTTCAAATTAAAATTCTATAAAAATAAATAAATATATTATTGACCTGTGTCAGGCCAGCAAATGTACGTTTTAAACCAGCTTTAACACCTTGTGGTGGTTCAAATGTATATTTAATTGATGATTGTAATACATTAATAGAAAATTGTGGATGCGGTTCAGTTGTTAACCAACAACGAAATGCATCATGCACTGGTTCAGTTTGTGTTACTGTCTCTAACATTTCTTCAAGAAAGCCTAAACCTAAATGGCAATTTTGTAATAATATCCATCGACCTTCTTGTTGACTTTGTTGAAGAAGACGTCGAGCATGAACTTCTTGTCCTTGACCCATCGATATTGTACCACAAGGAATATTTTGTTTCTTAGCTAAACTTAAGATATTATCTGTTGGATCAGAACCCATTGATAAAAAGCAAACAAGTGGTGTTCGTTTATCAGATTCTTGCCACATAGCTTCTAAATTTAAAATATAACCTTCAGCATATTGAACACCTAAAGATTCTCCAATATATTTCTTAGCCATAGGTAATGTACGATCAGGTGCAAATGAACGAACTAATAATAATTTTTTAAATGTATCTAAACTAGTTGAATATGATTCAGGAAACGTAACTTCTTCAGGTGCATCAGATAAAAACCAATTATACCAGACTTTATCATTACTAACAGCTTGCCGTAATACTTGTGAAAAATGTGCTAATTTTGAAAGTTCAACTAAATTTAACCATGTCATATCAGTTAACCATTTTTTCATTTTATCAGGTCGTGGTTCAACTGCATTCATATCTAAAGCAGCGCCACCTTTAATTAATACTTGAAATTCGGATGGTTTTACATTTCCTTTTTGCATATCAATTTTAAGTGCTAATAAAAGTGTGTAAAGATTTTTATCACGTTCATATAAACCACGTGATGAATATTTCCATACTTCATATGTTAAAGATTCAATGATATTTTGAATACGTTTGACTGTTATTGGTGATGCTTGTGCTTTTTGTCTAAATAAACATGAGATAATTTTTAATTTTTCTAACAAAAGTAAAACTAAAAATTGAATTACCGGCCAATTTCGAATAGACCTAAGAATTGTTTTAATGATGTTTGATACATAACATTGACCATTGACATTTCAACAATAAGAAAATAAACGATAGAACCACGAGTTGCTACAGGACGAAATTCTTCACGTGCTGCATTAATTTTAATTTCAGTTTCAGCAGCAATTGTTAATTTTTCATTGACTTCTTTTGATGTTGCTTTTGTATCAGCTAAGACTTGAATAAGTGATTCATCTTCAACTAGCGATCCTATAATATAAAGAATAAATTTTATCGTTAACAAATATAAAACGAAAGGAAAAAAGATTTGTCTTGAACCTTCAGTTGATGTTAAACGAAAGAGTAAATTATCTTCTAATTCTTTCGTACGGCGTTTATTTGATGTGACTTCTTCAAGTAAACGTACACGTTCAGCTTCAAGTTCCTAAAGAAAAACAGAAATATTATAATTCATAAGAGAATTTTCATTTCATATTATATGCTTACCGCTTTTTCTTTTTGAATAACAATACCTAATAATTGATCTTCTAATCCTTTCATTGTTACAGTAAAATCAATAATTGATGTTTTAGCATATATTTCAGGTGTATACGATGGATTAGCTAATTTTGTTGTTATATATAATTTAAAACCTGTTAAAACATCACATTCTTTATCTCCAACTTTAACTTTAAGTGTTGAACCAGATTTAATAAAATTTTTTTCTAAAACATTATCTAATGCTGGATCAAGTTCATCACCAACATCTTCAAGCATCAATGGTCTACCAAGTGATAATGCATCTTCTAAATGTGTACGAAAATATTTATGATTAAGTGTTGTAATTTGTAAATCATTCGTTGATTCTTTTTGTCGAATCCATGCTTTGCCTTGACCTTGTGGATCAATTAAAAGTGGAAAGCGAGCTGCTGATGTAACAATTAAACCATTTTGAATAGATAATTCATCATTAGGAAGACCTTGAAGATTCCATTCACTAATTGTTGCATTATCAACAAGAAATGAAACAATATTTAAATCCTAAATAAACAAAAAAATATTATTTTATTTTATCATTTAAAGTCGAGAATTATAAAATTATTTACATCAGAAAATGGCACTTTACGTTTAGTCATATCTGAACGCCATTGTTTTATAAGTAATGTACGAAATTCTTGATTGAATGGGCCAGTGTATGAAAGAAAACCGGTAGCTAAAAGAACGTCACCAACTAATCTATTTGTTTGAGCTTCGAAACCTTTTGATGCTTCTGTCCAACGTATACGTTCACCTGAAAGACCATCAATTAAAGCAGAAGCATTGTGCATTTTTCTTCGACATGCTTCAGCATCAGCAAGTAAAGCCTAGAGAAAAAAGAAAAAAAAATCTTTGTAGAACACGGCATCATTTTAATTAATAATATTTACTTGTTTAATAGCATTTGCTTTATCGAATTCAGCTTGTACAACCTGAAATATACAACAACAAAAAAAAATAACAATAGACAAAAAAAATGTGAGCGCAATCCCCGCGGAATTAAAATATGAAAGATGATGTCCGTTAGGTGTCTGTCATATTTGTGATGAGCGTTTTCTCATGTGTCTTAGATTGTCTGCGGTGAGCGGGGCGCAGGGAAAAAATTTGTACTCTCTATACTTCAAAACTCCTTTTGAATCATGTTTCACCATACGAAATCAGTTTGAAGATAATTTAAAGAAAAAGATGCATACCGCTACTTCAGCCATTTTAGCTGCTAATTGAGCTTGTGCATCATTATAATTTGCAGTAGCTTGACCAAGACGACTTTCTTGGACTGCTAAGTTAGCTTTTAATGGTAATACTTCTTTGTTAATACCATAGAAATATGCCATAGCCATAGCCCATGAACAAAGACCAGCGACATTGCCTGATACACGTTTAGCTGTTTCTAAATTAAAATCTTCCATAAGTAAATATGGTTGTAATAATTCGACTGTTTCAGCATTTATTGTATCCTAATAAAATTCAAATAGTAATTAAAACTTTTTCTAGTTTTTTTATGTGCTTTTTTACCTTTGGAAAATTCACAAGTGTATTTAAGAAATCGCTTCCACCCATTAATTTAAGTGATTCACCCCATGATGGTTTTGGACATGGTTTTTCAGGATCCATAGTAATAGAATCCAGTGGTCGTTGAAATAAAATTAACCCACAATCCATAATACGCATAATTAAATGTGGTGGTCTACCTAATTTCTTCACTGTAGCAATATCAGCTGGTTTAATTGTTTTTAATGCTGCTTCAGCTTCTTCTAAAGCTGGTCGTGCGACTTCAAGTTTAGCTTCAGCAACAGCTTTATCAGCTGATATTTGATCGACAAGTTCTTTACATGAATCAGCAACACGTTGTACTTGCTCAGCAACTTTTGTAGCAGCTGATTTTTTAACATTAACATCTAGCATAACAAGATCAGCTTTTTGATTAGCAACAACTAATTCTTTTTCTTTTCCTTCTAATTCTTTAGCTAATTCACGTACTTCTTCAGCAGCTGATATAAGTTTTTTCAAACCAGTATTCATACGTTCAGCTAATTTACCAATATCTTTACGTTTTTCCGAGTAAATTGTTTTATAACCGGCTAAAAATGAAAGATATGATTTCGGTGTAACATGTGTTTGACGACGAAATCGATTAAAATAATCAACACATGCTTCAGCAACTTGATCTTGTATTTCACCCATCATCATAACTAATTCTTGTTTAACTGGTTGTGTACATGCAATATCAAAATTACTAATGAAATGTTTTGATACAGCAATTAAAGCATCTTTTGGCCAACGTTGAAACCAATCCATTGTACAACCCGAAATTAAAGCTGGAAATTTTAATGAACGACTACGAAATTTTTCTCCAACAGGTGAAAAACATAAAACAACATGTAAATTATTTCGTACACGTGTTAAGAAATAATCATATAAATTTTCATTTGTTGGTGCTCGTTTAGGAAATTCACGTTTCATAACTGCAGTTAATTCACCTAAGATTTCATCGATTTCATCACGTGCAAATAAATTTGAAACTTCACCTGATGCTAATACATTATTCATATATTCAAGAAAAGCTTCATCTTTAATTTCATTATCAGTAAATAAAAATGTAACACCCTTGCCTTTTTGTCCAGCTGCACGATATAAATTTTTCAGATCTTCCATTAAATTTGTTACGTTATATGATCTTAAATATTATAAAAATAAAATACTCTAATATTAATTATGATTTTATTTTTTTCTTTACCTTGTTAATGTTATTTGAAATGTTTGATAGCCAGCAATAAACGATGCTAAACGAGTAAGTGATTGTTTTCCACTACCACCAACACCAACTAACAATGCACAACCACGTGGTGTTCGTATAATACGAGAAATTTTTACTAAATGTGTCATTGCATCTTTAAAAAAGACCAAATCCATTTTACCACCTTTTACTTGTTCATTAAATAGTTGTTGATAGTGTTGAAGTTTTTCACTAAGAGCCTCATATGATGAAATAAGTTCATAAACTTTTGGCGCTTCAAGATCAGCATCTTCACCTTCTTCACCTGTAGCTTCTGGTGCATCACGAAGAAAATCAACCAAATATGGTTCAGGTTGCATTGCAGAAGATGATTGTTGTCCACATTCTTCATCAGCAACTAATTTAAGTGTTTTTTCAAACCAATCTTTATCTTCTTGTGCAACAAAACGATCAGCAATAACACGATAACATTCATGTTTCCATAATGACATTATAACATCAACTTTATTTCCAGCTACTTCAGATGTTATATTAAGCATTCCCTAAATATGAATATGTTTTTTTTAATAGAATAAACATTCGAAAAAAATAGGTCTAACCTGCCAAATACGTGAAAGATCACGTAAATTAAAAACATAATGAAAACGAGCTGGCGTTGGTAACATTTTAACTTTAGTTTTTTGCCATAATTTTCTTGTTGCTGGTACAAGTTTTTCAATAACATTAACAACATCTTGACTAAAATTACGTTCCTATGAATAATTTAAAAACAAAATAGAAAATTTAATTTTGTTTATTTTTTTCTTTTATATTATAAAATTTATTTACTTTACAAAAATAACCAAGTCCAATAGTACTAAAAACTTTATCGATTGAGGCATTTGATGGTAATGTACAATTAAATATACAAAATTGTCTTTTTAATCGTTGTGGTATATCATTTCTACCACCACCAGGTTGAATCATAGCAGCAATAAATTGTATATCAACAATATTTGTAAATTCACCTGGCTTTTCAAGATTATAAAATCCATTTTGTTCCATAACTTGTCGTGTAATTTCATTTGTAACCTTTATAACAATAGAAACATAACAATTTATTCAAATGATCCTGCCAGATAAGATCAACATCTTTCATTTGAAAAGTCACCTATACAGTTTTGCAGAATGATTCGTAGCGTAATAGGAAAGTGTTTTTTCATCAAGTTTTTATGTTGCCAAAAGTTATATATCAGTTAAGGAATATTATCGCACTTATGGGTGATATGACAAAATATTAGGGCTTAAGATATCTCCAAACCAATCTATATGAAATATTGTTTAAAGTTACTTCAATAGAGTTTTGTCTAATCTTCAATCGTGTATATCTAATTATAATCACAATAGTTTTCTTCATATTCAAAACCTTAGAACTTTTGCTAGCTTCTCTAAGTTTTTGCTTTTATGATGTTTTAAAGTCTTCGATACTGCTTCTAAGGATAAACACGGCCAACTGTACAATCTTCTCAGAAATGGAAAAAAATATTTTCGTTTTCGGACTCTTGAAGAAGAGTACGGGAGTGAACTATTACAAAGCTTGGTTTTTATTTATTTTTGTTTCCTACGCATTTAGATTATGAGTACCAAAGTGTGATTTGAGCATGGAGCTCTATTAGATTCAATATATGTTTGATCTCATATTAGAATTAAAAATTTTGTGCATCCCCATACCTCATTCAGGAATCTGAAAGTGTGAATTTATTTTGCTATTTCAGAAAGATCTATATATGCCCAATAATAAAACATGATGGATTTGTTATTAATAGATAGAAACCTGTTGCACAATTGGTAGCCTGTAGTACCAGAATCAGTATAGAAAAATTTATAATATCATAAAATTCAACAATTAAAGAAGCTAGTAAAAGTTCTAAAGTTTTGAGTCCAAAGAAAACCATTGTTAATATTATTAAATATACATGATCGAAGACCAGACAAAACTCTGTTGAAGCAGTTTTAAACGGAATTTGATATAGATTGGTTTGGGGACATACCAAATCCTAACATTTGATCATGTCACTCACAATTGCTATAATATCTCTTACCTGGTATATAGCTTCTTAGAACAATAAAACTCGATGAAAAAGCTATGTCCTATTGCAATACGACTTGCTCTGCAAAATGTTATAAATGACTTTTCAAATGTAGGATAGTTATCTTATCCGATAGAATCTTTTGGGAAATCTTACTTGATCACCCCATTCATTAATAACAGGCATATTAATATCATCAATAAAGATTGTCATTTTCTTTCCACCTGGCGGTCCATACGTTGTACCAACACGTTTATCAACATAACTTTCAATTGTTCGTTGAACCATTGTTGCTGTAGTTGCACTGGAAAAATTGACACTTTTAAATGATTGAACCTCAGGATCATATTTCGAACAATAACCTTTAACCATAACTGTTTTAGCAGTACCCTATAAACAAGACGACAAAACAAATTTCTTGAAAAAAAAATGTTTTTCTTTTCTAGTTTTTTTACTTGTTCACCAATTAATAACACAGATTTTTCTTGTTTAGCAACTGTATCAATCAAAAAATCTGTTCGAACATTATCAACATTAGGTACAAGAATTGATGAATATTCAGGTATTGAATCTTTTGGATAACTATATTCGGGTACACGATTACTCCAATGTTGCCATTGACCTGTTTCAATATTAACAACGTATTCAAAAATTGTTTCTTCACCTTTTATTGGTGGTAAATCAAGATTTTTTTTTTCAACAAGAAAATCTTCTAATTTCTTTCGATCAAATAATTCAAGTAGAGCACCAACAGACCACATTAATGCAAATACATAAAGACGACCAAGAACATCTGGTGCTGGAGCTTTATCTTTATTAATTAAACCTTCTAATAAATAAAGTGATTGTTTTGTATACATGCATTCGAGTAACTAAATTTTAAAAAAAAAGTAAATTATTTTTTGAAATAATTCTAAATAAAAGAAAAATATTTACTGGCATCTTAGGATCAAGTGATTGAAGAACATAAGTTAACGCATCTGGAAATGATCTTGTATAAAGATTAAGTAAAACATCAGTTTCACTTGGACTACGTTTAAGTAACCATCCTTTTACAATAGGCTCCCAATTCATAACTGATGCTGACATAAAGACCATACCATTTCGACTGACAGTAGCTGGTGAAGCATTATCAATATTATGTACTTCAAAAATAATTTTACAATTCGGTGCCATTGGAATTCGATCACCATTAGCCAATGTTAAAGTTTTATTATCATCTAATACAGAATTTAAATTTTCAATCCAAATAGCATCAACAGGTCCATCAAGAATTAACCAAACATGATCACCCTAACATAAATCATTCAAAGCAAAAGCTTGAATTTCTTTCTTTTTGGTTTGATTCTACATACCTTTTTCGTTTTTAATGTTCGACGCCATAACGTGGAAAATATTCCATCAGTCCAATCATTAGTTGCTACATCTAATCGACCAAACATTTGTGGAGCTGTAATAGCTTTTGGATTCATACGCATTTCACGATGTGGTGCGCCACATTCAGTCATTGCTTTCATTAAAATACTAAGTTGAAGAAAAATATTTTCATTAAAATACAATAAAAATCTTTTTATTTATTTCTTCTTACTTGATACATTTTGTTTTTCCAGCACCACTAGGTCCTAATGTCATCATACCATGACGTACACGTTGTGTTTCATAAAGTTGAATTAATTTTAATACCCATGGTGCATGGTGAACTAATTGTGCTTGTTCAGTCTAAATTAATATTTCGAAAACAATCGAATATGATTTATATTACAAAAAGTTAATTCATACTTGTGTTTTAATAGCTGCTTCAATTTCTGGATAACCTTTTGTTTCAAGTTGAATACCAGGAAATAAATCATCAATTAAAGACATAAATAATGGTTCATCTTCATCAATCTATATTAGAACACGAAAAACAATTTTTTTTTCATATGATCATAAATAATGAATACAAACCAATTTTGAAAGATTCATATCACGCAAAATTCGCATCATTGTTTTTTCTTCGGAATCAGTTGGATTTTCACGTTTGAATGCACCAAGTGTACGTAAAACAGATAAAATATTTCTTAAACCAAAATCATAATGTACTTGTTTTGTTAATTGTTCTTCGCATAGTTTATATAATGTATAAAATTTCTTTGATAATTTAACATTTTGAAGAAAACCACAACTAGCTAATTTGACACGCATAATAATAGCACGATCAGGAACCATCATAGCTAGAGAAAAAAAATTTAACATAGTAAACAAAGACAAAAATATCTATCGAATAACTTACCAACTGTACGAAAATTAATTTTTAAATTTTCAGGTAATTCTTGTCGACCAGCATAACCAGGATTCTAAATTTTCAAAATAAAAATAATTAAATAAAGATTTTACGAGGAACATCACACAGTTGATTAATCGCTTTTAAGTCGGAACTATGTACATTATAATAGACTCTAATGTGTTATGAATATACTGAGAAGAGTTCAGGCGTTTAGCTCATTGCTGCCGAGCTACTACATTTGTACAGTATGGTTGTTTTTGAATGAATACTGTGTTTCTAAGAGGAATTACGGCATTAAATAAAATGGAAAACTACCATAGAAATGTAGTATTTCGGCAGCAATAAACCGAACGATCCGAACTCTTTTCAATGTATTTATATCTTATTAGAATCTATATGATGTACTTGGTCTCGACTCAAAAGCGATTAATCAATCAGACGACTTCTCTCATTAGATAAAAATAATAATTTTACCATAGTAAGAAAGAGACCGAATTCAGTATCCATATCAACGGTATCACCATCCGTAAAGATAAATGCTGATTTCTTTTCTTTTTTACATCGTAAAACAATATCAATTTGTTGAGCAGCGACAGAAAGTACAGGTAATTCAATACGATTGAATTCATCAAAACAACCCCATGAACCTATGAAGAAATTAAATGATAATTTCAAATGTATTTTACTCATAATTATTTACCTGATTGAGCTAAACCTTTGTAAATACGTCCAAGACCACGATAATCCATTTGATCGGAACAATTGAATACCTATTTATATAAAACATTATTCATTTTTACATTGAATGTCAGTTTTTCTGCATAACTTACAACAACGAATTTTCCAAGACAACGACCCATATCTTTTGTTGTTTCTGTTTTTCCGGTTCCGGCAGGTCCTTAAAAGAGAAACATCTCAAATTTGTAATTAATCTTTAACTTTCAATCAGTCATACCTGCAGGTGCACCACCTAATGACATATGCAATGCTTGTGCTAATGTGATATAACATCTATATAAGAAAAAGAAAAGAAAATTTTTTAATAAATTGAATAAATTAACTTCGTTTTGATTCTTACCTATCAGTTAATGGTGTTATGACAAGTCGATCGGTACAACCCAAATATTCATTCATATATTTAAAATCGACATCAGTTATTGATATACGACATATATCAGCATCCTCATCAAAATAAAATCGACATTGTTTAAGCCAATCGAATTCACCTGGTGATCGAGTTTTATTTACAACCTACAATTAAATTAATAGCAAAAAATAAAAAAAAACAAAGATCAGTTTTAGTTTAATATAAATACATACAAGTTCATCGAAAATATCTTTTTGATGTACATGAATTGTAATTAATGTTTCGACTTTAACTCGATCTAATTTTGATAAATCTTCTGTTGTTTTATTAATTAATGCATTAAGAATATCAAGAAATTTCTTTGCTGTATCTGGCATTATTTTTTTATCTGTCTTGGTATTATTTAAAGCTATTTCTGCATCACGTGTCCATAACATTTGAAGACCAAGTAAACCGACCTGAACAAAATGATAATAATACCGTACATAATGGATGGCTCGAAAGTTTCGAGACATAAATGTTCGTTTATTTTTCGACTGATTAAAAGGACTAGCAGAAATTTTATAATCTTAATTTATAATCTGAACTTTCGTAAGTCTCATCAATTAAAAGTGATGAGCACATTTTTAACATTAAAGTTTGGACAGATTATAATGTCCAAAAGAAAAACAAAGAAAATAATATCCTAATCGATAATACGTGAAAATCACTAATAGAACGTAAGCAGAATCCACGGGGTTACAACAGAAATACGAATTTACCAAGAAAACAATCACCCAAAAAGCATCATTAAAATAGTTTCTAACGTACTATTGAGGAACATGCAGTGTTGGTATAAAAACTGACAGTAAGTCAGCAACACAGGCTTCACTAGGGTATTGATTGAACTGATAGCCACGTTCACTACAACATTGAGATACCAACTCGATCAAAATGTGCCGTTTTCTGTAGCAGTGCGTTCTAGGAAACACTAACTACACTGAGCCAGTAGTCAATAAACTGATACTGCATATCCCTATTTATACAGTCACATTTTCCGGACATTCAAACATTTGTGTGTTAATTTCAAACTAGGTTCTGAAGGAGAAGAAAATTCTGCGTTCTAGCTCAAGATTTTAAAATTTCTGCTAACTCTTTTAGTCAGTCGAAAAATATGATCTTAAAACTTTCGATCCATTCGTTAAAATCAAAAAAATAATTTACTTGAGCTGGAAAACTATTGAGAAAGTCAAGTAAATTAAACGATGGATCTTGAATGGCAATAGCACCATCACGAATAATTTTATGCAGTGATGCACGTGATATTCTTAATAAATCTCCAAGCCATACTTCAACATTACCCTATTAATAAATAAAAAACAAAATTTATTTATTGATAATATATACAAAATCAATACCTGAGCCATAACTTGTTCTTTTAATGGTACCATTTCACCTTCTTGCGAATTAATTTCAAGAATTTTGTCATAAACTTTTTCATCAAATGTAACTGTTTTCGTATTATCAAAAACACTTAATAAATGATTCTAAAATAAACCAAAATCTATTAATTATTTCTATAATTTAATTTCTATTTACTTGAATAGTATGTGAATCACTAGCTTGACCAAGAATTTCCAAAAGTGCTGGATCAGAAACGAAGAAAAATCTTGGAAATACTAAACGTTTCTTCTCAAGATAACCCGTTAAAGATTTTTGACATAATTCAAGTTGTTCAAATAAATGTGGTAATAGCTGTGCTAATGTATCATCAGCTGTACAACAACTAACAACATTTAAATTTTCATGTGAACGTTGCATAATTTTTTGCCATGATTTATCAATATTTCCAAAACGCTTAGCTTCAGCTGGTAATTGTTTAGCTATATCACCACCAACAAAAACAGCTTCTAAATAAATCCAAAGATTTTGTACAGACATCCATTTTTCAATAATTTCAGTTGTTGATGTTAATTTTTGTACCCATTCCTGAATTTTCTTTTTAAATGGTGCATTATAACTAAAGAAAGTAATTTAAGAAAAGAACAAAGCAAGACAAGTTTGTTTTCTAGTTACCGATTAGACATTAATGAACCGAGTACCATTAATGAATCTTCCATAAGTGCAATGATTTCACCAGTAGAATCACCTTTTAATAGAAGTTCACCACGAGTTTTAAATGTACTAAATTGAAAATTTTGATTTCCCCAATCAGCAACAACTTGATTAAGTTTAGCTTCAATATCTTTTTCTTTAATAGCTGATATACAGATATCC